GGGCCCGATGCCAGCCCGCCGCGCGCAGGGCAGCGGGGACCTGGTACCCAGACGCGAGTGACGACTGCACCGAAGGCTGCGTCGTTCTGCAGCTCCCGGTCACGTGAGGGCCCCGCGTCACCGCCGAGCTCGCCCTCCTCCCCACCCCACCCCACACCATACCACCGAACGCCACCCCCACGGGCCAGCGGGAGGTTGCGCTGGACCCTCCCCCACCCCACCGGCTCGCTGGAGCGTCCCCTCCCCTACTCGGCTCTGCGCGGTGACCCGGGGCGCACCACCCAGTCGTTCGGCTCGGTCCTCTCCAATCCGATTGCCCAGGGCTGTTGCCGCCCCGAGGCCCGGGTTTGCCCCTTCTCTGGTCACCAAGGACGGGCGCAGCCCCCTGACACCCCCTGCTTTAGGACAGACTTGGGTCTTTTCTCCCTGACTGATATCTTAATGATTTCTCTTTATTGAATTCTTTAAAATTCACGATGCCTCAAAAATTATGAAATTTCATTTGTAAAAGACATGTTTCAACCCCAGGGGAGTGAAAACCCTCGTTGTTTATGTTCCCTGGTACTACACAGAAAATATTTTCTCAGGATGCTATGTACATTCATTTTAAGAACATTCTAGCTTACTTAAAAATTTTATGGGAATAAAAGGAGAAATCCTCCAGAACACACTCGGTGTTTTGAAAACGTGAAGTAAAATTTGAGGGAGAAAACCAGTTGTCAGAACTTGGCCATTTTATCTAAATGCTCCGTCTCTTTTCCCCTTCTGGGACACATTCAAGTTTCATTAAGAAGCATATTTTTTTTATTATAATACACAGTCATTAAATATAGACAGGTACTTGCTGACACTGAAGTAAGCTGCTGAAATGTAACGGCTATTAGTATTGATGGTTTTGAAGATTTCAGCAAAAGGAAAAGCTGTGAGGCAAGGGAGGGAGATCCACCACCCTTGCTCTCAAAGGGGTTGTGGGTGGGTGGGTCCTCAATCTGTCACATTCGGGAGCCTCTCCTTTCCTCCATTCTGCTCCTGACTGGCTTCTACAGTAATACAGATGGACTCGTGACCTCAGTAACTCCCTTTGGCTCTTTGCTGCAATTCTTTTCCAAATTCCCCCTTGGAGACTTAAGTTCCACTTGGGGTTCTGGTGTGGGGAAGGATGTACTCTCATAGCAGAAACTGGGCGTTCCAAGGGTACAGATAAGTAATTGCTGAAGGGACCCTTTCCTTTGCGTGCCTGTTCTCTCCTGTTTCCCACTTTGTAGATTAGGACAACAGGAATGTCCTAGGATCTAGTCTCTTTGTCTCACACGGTTTAGGAAATAAAGACTGCGAGGACCCTCACCCTAACTTCCTTACCTCCAGGTCACTGAGGAAGAACCCACCTTTGCTACAGGGTCACTATCTGCCAGCCCTTACCTACTCTGATATTCCCTCAGTTATATCAAAGTCTGAGAAACGTTCTGTATTGACCATCCTGAATAACTTTACATTACAAACTTCTCATCTCAGAAGTTTGTTAGTCAAAATAATTATAATAAGGGGGAGGGGTGATGGTGGTGGTATGTATTTGGGGAGAGGGAAGGAGCCATACTTCGCAGATTTTCAGTAGTCTGTGATCCCTCCTCTCAAAAAGTTTAAAAATCTCTTAACTCATGCTGTCTTTCTCTAGTCATTTATTCTCACCTTGGACTTGCTTCTTTTTATTTCTTCATTGTCCTGCATATTCAAGTAATAAGCACATCTGGCCAAGATTCTCTTTTTATCTTTTTAAAACAGCATTATGGGACTATAATTCCCATATCACGTAATAAGACTTGCCCACTTATAACGTTTCATTTCAGAATTTTCAGTAGAAATATTCACAGTTATCACCAATCAAATTTGGGATGTTTCACCATCTGCAATCCTTAGAATGAATACAGAAGCCCCTAACTGAGTGATGGGTGACCTTGTAAGAGATGGAAAATAAAATACAGGTAAGAACACATGAAGGAGGATTCTGGGGCAAGTTGTTGCCACAAGCCAAAAAGAAAAAAAACAAAACAGAAGCAACCAGAAGCTGGAACAGCAGGATAACCACCCCCCCCCCCAAGGACCTCCAGAATGGTGAGGAAATAAATTTCTGCTGTATAAAGCCATACACTTTGTCAAAGCTATAGCAGCCCTCGGGAACCAATATAGAGACACCCATAACATTTATTTTTCTGAAAAGAAGCATCATTAGTATTCTTTAGTAGTGCCGTATCTCAATGTTTGCTGTTTTTTGGTAGGTTATTGTGGTTGGATTCTTTTTATAGATCTGTTGGGCATTTTTTAGTTTTAACAATTCTACAGTTTCCCTTCTCTACTGATTTGTTCATTGGTCAGGATTAATAATCCAATGTCAGTCATATATGAAGATTGTTTTCCTCCCAGGTTTTCATGTGTTTTAAAATATTTTCTTCTAAAAACCTTGATTAATTGGGTCCGCCCTGGTGGCACAGCGGGTTAAAGCACAGCACTACGAAGCTAAAGCCACTTCAGCATGAGTTTGATCCCTGCCTGCCCCGGAGGTGACCCACATGATGTGGTAGACCTTTCCTGACCTGCCCGCTGCTCCCCTCAGTAGTGTACTTCATTGATCTGCCTGTTCTGCTCCCCACTCTGCCTCTGGTGAATCCTCTCACTGCCCCTGCACCTCTGGCCTGTACCCCAGTTCTGTATGCATAAATAATCTTTAAAAAAACTTGTTCAATTTCAATAGATTTGTAAAGTTAAGAAAGAGTACTGTTCTCTACCTAAAAAGATTTCATTAATGCACTAGAGTCACAGAACCCCAGCCCTCAGGTTTACCAGGGCAACACAGCACGCCCCATCTCTGCAGCCACATGATCCTGAGGCGCACACTCAGCCTGGGGATTAGGGGGTCCAAGACTTAAGTCTCTACCTCTTGCTCCCCAGGAGTTGCTGACCCTCTGTGATTTCCCCTTTCCTCCTCTGTACACCAGTGATAATACCGGTCTACAATGAATTTTTTCAGGGATGTGACATAGGATGCAATTTTATTCTTTATTGTCAAAACAAGAAAGAATGCTGGGTGAGAAAACACACAGAACAGCTGCCCTCTGGGTGGATAAATGTTTGCCTAGAGTGGATGCCCCAGCCCCAAGCAGACCTAGTAGCCCAGTCATCAGGTTATATTTAAATTGGAGGATAAAATGCAACAAAGATAACGAAGAAAATGAAGATAAAGATGAAGACATCAAGGGTTCTTGTCTGCCTTCTGTCCTCATGGTCTTGGATACATCTGTGTGATAGTTGCCTCTGGGATCTTGCCCTGGGCCTGGAGGAAGTAAAGGGAGGGAGTTGGGAGATGAGCAATGGCAGGAACCCTGAGTGTCCTCCCCCCTCACTTGGCCTGAATCCATGGACGTCACCTTGGGCCGAGCAAGAATTGGTGCAGCTCTGGTGTTGTCCCAGCCCTTGTCCTGGAGGCACCTGTGGTGGAGGAATGACAGGCAACACCCATTGGGACCAACTGGAGACACTGGTCACAGTGTGTCAATCTGCGTGAGCAAAATATGTCTCCACATTTACTGTGTCATATGTAGCGGAATGAGCCCTGTGGGCAGTCCTGGGCAAAGCCTCTGGAACCCCAACATCTCTCAATAAAGGAATGAGGTCCATGGAATTCAGAAGAGTAATGCACAGCTGTTCAAGCCAACTGTAGTTTATTTGTACAAAGGGAAGCAAAAAGCCAAATAATTTACTTGCTAGTGCTAATTATCCACTCCTGGGGTGGGGTCTTCCAGCTCCCACTTATCCCACTGCACACCCAGTACTCACTTCGGAGACCACTGGAGGTTCACCCCAGACTGTGTTGCAAAAGCCTGCGACATTTCCTGCTGCTCCTGCAAGGGGATGTGTGCAAGGCTGCAGGTAGGCATGGGCAGCGGGGTGGAGCATGCATTCTGGGACTCTTTGCAGATGGTGTCCCTCACAAACAGCTCGTCATTCACGATGCAGAGACTGTAGGAAAAACCGGCCCTCAGACAGACAGGCAGACACACCCAACAGTGATCTGCTCCTCCCACTGACCCTCAGCAGTCAGATTCTTTCCACATCCTTGCTGTGCCTGCCTCCCAGCACCCTTGGGAGTACCTGTACCATCCCATAACGCCCACCTCTAAAGATTGCCTTCAGCTTCACATGCACAGAGGGAACCCCAGTGCATTTGCTGTGTAAAGTACCGGAGAGGACACTCTAAGCCCATCTGCAGAGGGGACACCGTGCCACACACAGGTCATGTGACCAGACCAAGGTCACACAGCTAGTGAGGGTCGGGGTCAGGCAGGGAGCCCCAGGGCTGACTCCAGGCCCATGTCGCTCCTAACAGCGAGGCCAGACTGCACCACGATCTCCCAGCAGACTGTGCATAATGCTGAGGAATTGGGGGCCACAGGGGTGGGCGTAGGGGCGTGGCATGGCCACATCCCCCACTGCTGGCCCAGACCACCGTGGGTGCCCCACACCCAATGCAGGGCTCACCTGGAATTGTTGCCAGGGACAGCAATGAAGTTCCTTGTGAAGGCACGAGCCGAGAAGGGTGACCTTCCTACCACTTGAACGACAAACAGCAAACGATTAACACCCCCTTGGGGTTCACATGCTTCACACACTGCTGGTGATCCCCGGGCAGGGTCTCCCTTGCTACCCAGGGTGGATCAGAGTGCAACCGTCCCCTGGGAGTCAGGGTGTGTGGAACGGGCAGGGCAACAACAAGAGCCATCTGCCCCCAGGGACAGGGACCCGACTGCGCGCCAGGTCCCGTGACAGCCGGTCCACGTGTTCAGCCACTCGTGTTTCGTGTTTCGCAGCTGACTAAGCCTGGGACGTCAGTAGCCCATTCTGCAAATGAGGAAACCGCTCTCGGTTCAGCAGGGGCTCCCAGGTCCCAGAGGAAGGACCTGGGGTGAGGCCATGGAAGCCTGTGGCCTGTGTCCCTCCCTGACTCCCCAGCGGGGTGGGTGTGGGTGTGGGGCAGACAGGCAGGATTGGGGGCAGGGTGGGAACTGAAGAACACAGGGAAGGGGATAGGGCAAGGGAGGGGATCCAGGGAGCTGGCAGAATTCTGAGAGGGAGCCCAGGCAGGGGGAGGGAGCGCGGGGGCTTTGGGGAACACTCTACCTTCTGGGACGCACTCACCTTCATTAAACACCCCGTGGACAGAGAAGCAGAGCATGGTTTCCTGAAAGGGAAGTGCCCAGGTGCTCGTCACCACCTCAGGGTCCCACTCACCTGTGGCTCTCTGGGGCTGCCTGAGGGAGGAAGCGGGTGCTCACCGTGTGGACCCACAAGTCCACCAGGAAGGAGCTGAGGTCATGCTGCGTTTGGGGCAACATGCACAGGGTGCTCACGATGTTACGGTTTGTGTGTCTCAGCAGCTGGTATCGCATGTCTGTGGAGGCAAAAAGGGGTGAAGCAAGCAAAGGCCAGGGCCTGCCAGGCCTGGGCCCTGCGACTGTCACCACTCCCCCCATCTGCGCCCTTTCCCTGCCGGGTCTTCTCGGTCACCACTTACAGGGGTCTTTGAGCTTAATCATGTTCCTGCTGTCTTTGAAGTACTGCCACAAGCTGCTATTAGGAGAAAGAGGAACAAGAGGAGGTGTCGGGCCATGCAAGTGTTCTCGGGAGCTGACCTGAGTCTGCCAGGGGAGTCCAGGCAGCAGGATGAGAGTCTGGGCTGTGATACTCACGGAGCTGGGTCCCTGCGGCTGAAAGGAAGGGTCAGAGAGAAGCAGGCTTGTTCGTGGTAAGCACCAAGGAGACTCTTCCGGTTCCCATAGTCATAGATTCGGTAATACCTGTGTGGAGGATAAGAGGCAAAGTGGAGCTCTGTGGCCTGGGCCCCAAATGAGATGCAAAGACCCAGTGAGCTGTCCTGAGCCTTAGCAACGCCATCCCTCCCGGCCCCTCCCTTCTCTGGTGGCCCCAGGACTACTTACTGCTGCAGGAATTGCAGGACTAGATTCTTTAGCATCTCAGATCCAAAGAAGCTTCCCTGAAATGCAAACAGGACTATGGTGATACTGCTCTTCATGCACCCCCTAAAACCCTGCTTGATCCTCCTCCTCACCTTGCAGACTGGTAATGGTATCTTCTTCTCAGCTGGCAGACCAACATTACTTGGTGTCAGTGAGTCCTGCCCGTGGGGGCGCGGGGTGGAAGGAAGCAAAAGCAAGTCAGCAGTGCAGACCAGGAGGTGCTCCTGGATGATCAGGCAAAAGGAAGGGACCAGGGCAGGGTGAGGGTCAGAGGTCAGGGGTGAAAGGGCCCAGGAGGTTCCAGGCCCAGGAATGCAGTGGGCCTCATCACCATGGTGTGCCAGAATTTGTGGGTAACTCGTGAGAAGTCCAGAGCTTCTGTCAGCTTCCCCAGGGGCTGCACCTCCAGAGGTTTAAGGGTCAGATCTAAACTGTACCTTGGACAAGCCCTCAGGGGTACAGGGCAGTTGGTGGGTGGCATCAGTGTCAGATAGAAGAGTCAATGAAAAGGAATACAATTACCAGGCGGAGTAACTTGGGGAACAATTCCAGGATGGAGCTGCAAAATCAAGACAAAACAGAAGTGAAAGGGAGTTGCCTAGTGGGGGCAGCACCCAGACAGGAGACAGCCCCCTGAGTCCCAGACGTGCAGGGCCCTGGGCACCTCCCCATGGACTGACAGAGGCAGGTCTTCCTTTCCCTCCACCCTCTTCTCCCCAACTCCCTCTCCACCCCCACAAGACACAGCATTTGGAGCCCAGGCCCCTGGACTCCAGGCCCTCCCCCAAGGCTTCAGAGAGGAGTCCATGGTGTGGGAGCCCTGGGTGCTGTTGCTCACAGGACCAGGACCCCTCCCCCCCAACCGGGATGGCCCGGATGTGACCAGGAGGGGAGTGAGGTAGAATTCAGCAGGAAGGAGGGAAAGGGGCAGGTGACGACTGAAAGGCAGTGAAGGCAGGACGGGACACCGGAGAGAGTCTCCAAGGCACAGAACACAGGAGACAGAAGGCAAGGGGATGGGGGGGGTGCAGAAGAAGAGAAGAGGAAGAGGAAATGGCTTCCCCCACACCCTCACAGTGCTTCCCTTCACCTGCCCCTGGCTGGCCCAGAGACCCCATGTGCGAACGGAAAACATGCCCTGTAGGGCTGGGGCCCTCCGAAGCCCAGTCTGAACAGACACTCTTTCCAGAAGGAGGGAGGGGCCAGGCCCAGCTCAGCATGGGGAGGGGGTCTACAGCCCCTTTTATGTCACCGCCTTCTCTCCTGATGGTCCCTGTGCCGTTTTCCTCGACTCCTTGCCTAGGAACTCATCCCCTTCATTGTTGGGCTACCCAGGACACCTCTGAGGGGCCAGGCAGTACTTAGGCCAGGCTAGAGGAAGGGAGGGACAGAGGGAGGGAGATGCCTGAGAGGCCCATCCTCTGGCTCCCCAGAGCCTCTGCCCTTGGCCTGCCTTTCCTCCCTGGAGAAGCCTCTGCTCACTGGTGGTGGCCCACCTCTGACCCCGGACTCAGGAAAGCCAGGTTTCTCCCAGGAGGTCCCGGCTCCTGGCACCAGGCAAGAGGAACGATGTCAAGACGACAGCCACCCAGGGCCTCAGCCCCCAGCTCGGGCCAGGAAAGCTCCCGTGTCAAACTGGGGTTGGAAGGGGGGGCTTGGAGCTAGAAAAGAGGGCACTCCCACACCAGAACAGGAGAGGGCAGCCTGGTCCCAGCACAAGGCAAGAAGGCCTCGCTCAGCACCAGGCCCGGGCCAGATGACCCTTCTCAGTCTGGGGCACCACGTCGGACTCAAGGCTGGTGACTGGGGTTCGGGGGGTGCCTGGTGAGGCAGGGAAGCCCTGCTTCCTGGGGCACACGCTCAGCAGAGCACACTGGAGGAGGCTGGATGCAGACTCAGCCAGGCCCCAGGCTAGGAGAACCGCCAGCAGCTCGGAGGAAGCAGAGGAGGCCTCTGAGCACAGGTGAGGGACCCGGTGGGAGAGGAGAGAGACCGGCTTATTGTTCTCCTGAAGACCAGGCCTGCAGCCTCCTGCAAGCAGACACTTTGGGGTAGGTCAGGCTACTGGCAGAGGGTATATTTTACCTCATGTTGCTGGACTTATCTGGGAAGGAAGTGCACAGGGAATTTTTCTCTGCACACATCACTTCTGGTTTCAGCCCTTTGTTTCTGTCTAACTCCTCTGCAGCCTTCACCTGTGGTTATGGAAGAAACCATGTGAACCAGGGAAAGTGCCAGATGACATGGAAATCCACTTGTCACCACTCGATGAACCCTTCCACCTTCCCTTCAAGGAAGGATCTGGATAAGACACCTTACCTCACTTTTGGAGAGGTTCAGGTTCTTGATTCTACAGGCATTCTGCATGACATCGTCAGTCAGACCACCCAGCTGGTAGGGGTTCTTTTTGCTCAGGTTCAAGGGCAAAAGCTATGATGAAGGAAAAGTTAAAGAGTGAGGGCATCCCAAGAGGGGATATCTGAGAACAATCTGTGCCTTCTGCCCTCTCCACTAATCCCAGCTCCGGGCCTCAGTCCTCACTCTGGGAACAGTCTGTTCATGTATCTGCAGTGAGGCAGCCATGTCATCTCTAGGCTTCCGGGACATCAAATCTGCAAGAAGCCGAGAGGAGGAAATCAGAAGACAAGTCCAACACCAACCCTTCCCCATGCAATGATCCCCAAGTCTCCTTCCCAGACAGACCCCTCTATCCTTGCTCCCCTAGTATAAGCGCTATCAGTGATACCAGGGTCAATGTAGCATCTCTGGAGGCCAAGAGACAGCAGGGAGTCATCATGCAGCTTGTTCATAGGCAGCTGCAAAATCAGAGATGGGGTTCAGCTCTGTGTCCGAGGTGGTAGAGGGGAGCAGTAGGTAGGGAGGCAGGTGTGGGTCTGATGGGTGATCACAACCTGTATAGCATCTGAATTACCATTCTCTGCTCCGAGTTTCCTGGCTTCAGCTGCTTTAGCATACTCTGGGGTACATTACAGGGGCTGACAAAGATAGCTATCTGCAGAGAACACAAGAGGCTCTGGATTAATGTTAGGAATCCTGAGGCCTATGAACCCACTACTACCTGTTCTGTTGTTTTCCAGCCAGGCCTGGTCACCTCCTGGACACACACCTTTTCACCCTTATTCAAAATCTTTCCATTGACATTCTTCAATGCGAAAGCAACAGTAGCATTCTCAACGAAGAACTGGGCCTGCATTTTCTCATAGTGAAACTATAGGAAGAAGAGCAAGAGAAACAGATTATGAGTCTAGAGCTACTACTACTCATCTGGGTCTTCATCTTCCCTGTTGCCTCCTATTTGCCTCTTACCCCGACTGGGATGAATGGCATGTTGCATGTCTTCTGGATCAAATTCAGCAGCCATGTCTCATCATATTTTATGCCAAATGGAATCTAAGAAAAGAAAAGATGGGAGAGGAGAGTCACATAATAGGATCTAAGTTTTAGATAAGACCCAACCAGGTCTTCCTTTAAAGCCTGAAGGCTTTCAAATAATTTCTAAAGATAGGATGATAGTCATTATCCCCAACTTTTGTACCAGACCTGGAGTTCCTAAATACCTTCCCTTTCCATTCTAATAGTTTTCTTTACTGAACAAAAGGTAAAGAAAAAGATAAAGCTTGGAGGCAGATGTCATCAGGAGAAGGGGAGGAGGGGGTCAAAACTGGGGAGGGAAGACACAAGGGAAAGTGGCGATGGGTCATGGGTGC